ACAATAAGAATAGGGGCCTCGCCCTTCAGGCTTGGGCCCCTAAAAACCGGACAATAAGAATAGGGGCCTCGCCCTTCGGGCTTGGGCCCCTAAAGAAAGAAGAAGAAAAAACCGGACAATAAGAATAGGGGCCTCGCCCTTTGGGCTTGGGCCCCTAAAAACCGGACAATAAGAATAGGGGCCTCGCCCTTCAGGCTTGGGCCCCTAAATACCGACGTCGAACAACATCTGGGATCTGAAGGGCGCCCCCTAACGTATAAGTACTTATACGTCGGCAGATGGCGCGCCTGATAATAAAGATATGTTCAAAATAGTACAGGACACTTTGTTGTCGGGCGAGAGTTTTAAAAAGTCAGTCGACTGAACGCAAACAATGTAATCGTGCAATTCCCACCGACAACTTTCAGCCGACATTTGCATCTATATGACTGTAATCGGTAACCTCTGAGAACAATTCTAGTAACAACTTTTCAATCCCATGCTTAATTAGACACGTCTCTCATATAGTATTATTGCGTTTTATTTACCAGTAGCGTCAGGAACATTTCGCATCTAAGTGCGTGCCAAAAGGCATTTCTCAGTCACGTACTAAAGTGAGCAGGAGGACATTTTGTCTTCTGAGAACTGCGACTTTTATACCCTTGTCCCGCACATGGAAAACACAGGAATCGTACTTTATATGCCACATAAAACATTGAAAACGACATGAAATATTACAAATCCTCCACCCAAAATGATTAAAGGGCGGTGGTCGTCACACAGACCGTGTTCGAATTTCAAGTAAATAAACAATGTAATATACACGCATTAGTACGTCGCTATGAGACCCATATTGAACAGAACGCGGCGCAACAACCACCACCCTTTAAAGAGAAAACATTAGCAAGCATACTTCTACGCTACCAACTTACTCGTCATATTCTACCTAATTGTTTACACGGGTTGACAATATTTTTCCCTTGCGTCCAGCATTAAAACACTGTTTTTATAATTTGTCATATATTCTAAATGCCTAAAAACTACACAACACAGACATAAACATTGCAAAACCAAAGTACGACATTTTGACGTAATAGTAGAGGGCGGGCCATATTGGAAACTTGTATATGTTGTATATGTTCAAGAATGAGGCAAATATTATCTTCCCATAGCTTTGTTTATTCATATATATATATCATATATCTATATTATACAGTACATACTTAGAATATATAAGACAAAACAAAAGTCCAAAACATGATAATACAATTACAACATATATAATATCAATAATATGACGGAATACATTTAAATCAATAATGTGATCAAATCACCCATCATATATCTGTCAAGCATTGGTAAATATCAAATTGTGTGTTTGGTGGGTGTCATTTGATCCAAAACACTGCCAAACTTAAAATTAACTTAATAACACATTTGTCTTTGTGTTGGCACGGCAGATATACATAGATATATATATATTATGTTTCGAACAACTACAGTTGAAGACAAAAGCAAATGTAAAAGCTAACAAAAATTAATCTGTAAATAGGTTTTGCACCTTCACCATCACGTGACCTAGAGAACTAAATTTCTTATGAATTTGTTATTATTATTACCAAAATGTAACCGCATTTTCTCTGGTAAAAAGCTGTTCTTTTGTATCAATAACGCATAGAAAGCAAAAATATAACCATCAGGATGGTAACCTTAATTAGCATTGACTGGAATACCGAGCATAACGATTTATATATTCAAATCTTAAAATTTAAAGTTTAGTATGTTTTTTTTGAATAATACAATTTGTATAAATTATAGAACAGTACGTACATATTTATACAATTGTCTAAAGTCGTGAGATTTAAGCAGGCATGGCTATATACGCTCATTAATTACATATTACGTTCATTTCTGTCCACTGATAGGATAAATACGGAAGACACGTAATCTACGTAAAAAACACTAAATGCAATAGTCTGGTTAGTTTTGGGACGTTTTTTCTATTTTCAGGCTAGCGTTTTAACCACCACCACACGTTACGTTGCGTGAATTTCACGCCAATTCTATCCCTACGGTATACCACAAAGTAAGTAGAAATTTTGACAAAGTTCTCTTCATGTTTCATCGCTAAAATTTATCATACTATTGTTGTATGTTTAACAACAACAAGTTAACTGCGTGATTTAAATAAAACTTACTTTCAGCTTCCGGTGTACTCTGTATTGAAATATGCCCGATGGAAGACCGAACAGTTTAGGTGGTTGGAAGTTTTTTTTAAAAATTAAAATGACTTTTATAACCACTAGAAAGATACCAACCACGTGAGCATCGTGTTGCTTAGCAACATTCTTAAAATCACAAGGAGATTTTCCAGTTTTAAATGTTATTTTCTAACAAATATTGAAATTAAAAAAACTAACTCGGCCATGTGACGTCATCCAATCGAAAATGTGATTTAAATATTTTATCACTTGACCGTGACGACCGACTGAGTACACGTATTGTGTTGGGAAATATTTCGCCAACAGCTGAGACCTTAAATGTGAAATCTACACGGGTAGGACACTTATGAATTGTGTTTATCAGCGTGATGTGTGCCTTGTAGAATTGAAATAGTATGTATCATACATGCGTACATTACTGCACATGCGCACTACATATTATTTTCATTGATGACGATTTTCGCTTCGATATAAAATGAATCTCTGACACCGAACGTCACAAAAAACACTGACCCAACTTTAAAAAGATAAGCAATCGCGCCATCTCGTGGTACACTTGTACTATTCTTTCTTCTCTTCAGTGTTTTCTTCCTTTGGTTCCTCTTCTTTGTCTTCTGTCTTCTCTGCCTCTCCTTCTTCTTTTTTCTCTTCTTTTTTATCAGTTGGACCATTTTCCTTTGGTTTATTTATCTCCTTCCAATACTATTATTGACAAAAAAAGATGCTCATCATCATTACGGATATTTTAAAACGGAGCGACGATAACAACACGCTCATGGTCTCATGGGTAGATGGTTGCTTGTAAGCAACGACACGCTATGGCCGACACTAACAGACACTAGAAACTCAAGGGAAGAGAAGTTGATTTTGAAAAGGGATCTACATAGAAAAATAAATAAAAATCTAAAGAGGAAATACATAAATATTCGATAAACAAATTTTTCTTCAGCAACATTACCGCCAAAAAAAGTGAAGAAAAAAACTTGCCCAGTAGTGTAGCCCTTCCCCTATAATAACTACGCACAGATACAGATTCTAATGGTCGTATACAATATAAACACAAGTTTTTCTATCATCCGATCGCTTTTTGTGTTTTGGACAATCAGCTTGATGGTAAATAAATTGAACTTACAGCATTCAGATCGTCCCTGATTCCGATTGGTCTAGCTAATGTCAGACGGTTAAGAAGGAATTTAGGAATCCAGCCTTTCATCTCAAGCTGTTGTAGCACCGTCAGTCTGGACGACTTTTCGTCATTTTCATCTTGTCGGACGATGAATCCATTAACAATGGTTTCACCTCTGAAGAAAAAAAAACGACATGATATTATCGGTGATAAAAACGTAATTTCATAGGAAACGTCCTTTACAATGCCATGGTATATGTTCATTAAATTAGCATAAAAACATATTTGCATTAATTTGCATAATGCGTTACATCACTGTGATTGGCATGCGTATTACGCAGAGTCACAATACACTATCATATTACGTGAGTTCAGTATACATTACCATATTACGAGAAGCCACCATACGTTATCATGTTACATGAAGTCACAAAACAATATTATTATTATTAAGTCAGTAAACATTATCATATTACGAGAAGCCACCATACGTTATCATGTTACATGAAGTCGCAAAATAATAATATTATTAAGTCAGTAAACATTATCATATTACGAGAAGCCACCATACGTTATCATGTTATATGAAGTCGCAAAATAATAATATTATTATTAAGTCAGTAAACATTATCATATTACGAGAAGCCACCATACGTTATCATGTTACATGAAGTCGCAAAATAATAATATTATTAAGTCAGTAAACATTATCATATTACGAGAAGCCACCATACGTTATCATGTTATATGAAGTCGCAAAATAATAATATTATTATTAAGTCAGTAAACATTATCATATTACGAGAAGCCACCATACGTTATCATGTTACATGAAGTCGCAAAATAATAATATTATTATTAAGTCAGTAAACATTATCATATTACGAGAAGCCACCATACGTTATCATGTTACATGAAGTCGCAAAATAATAATATTATTATTAAGTCAGTAAACATTATCATATTACGAGAAGCCACCATACGTTATCATGTTACATGAAGTCGCAAATCAATATTATTATTATTAAGTCAGTAATTATTATCATATCAGAAACCAACATACATTATCTTGTTACAAGAAGTCAATACACATTACGAAAGGTCTCCCTACATTATCATATCACGTGATGTCACTTTACATTATTATGTGACGTGATGTCACCTTGCAACATATTACACGAAATACAGACTTTCACACCATTTCATCACATTACTGCTAACATTTCATCATATTCATTCATTCGTTCATCATTATGTCATGTTAATGCGAAATTAATTACATTTCTGTGAAAGCATTGCATTACCTGATCAATGAATTATTTGGTGGCTTGTCAGGATGAACACAGTCTTTGTATAATATGATATGCCTTTTATTGTCTTCATCGCTTCTCTTTGTTGACGCAATCACGAAATCACGCCCTGTGCAGGCTGCCGGCATTTTAAATACACTGGAATGCATATACAACACATAATTAAAACACATTTGTTTTTTTGAAAATCTGTCTGTTGATTACGATTCATTATTTGGTCTATGGTTGAGATCAGATAGGCATTTCACCGTAAGAGTTTTTTTGTTAGTTTGAAATATCTTCATATTTGTAGATTAACATTATTATACACTCGCCTGTATAATATGCAGAAGTCGCTCTTTTCATCAAGAACATCAATCTTGTGACCTTTGTCCCATTTCTTGCGTTCTTCATAATTTGTGAGTAACTCCATTGCTAAAACAATATCCAATGAAATTATATAGATTGTTAATTTGTACACGAATACTAATAGTGATAAATACGGTATATAAACATGTTATCACATGAGTAACGTGTGACACATACATCAATGTCTTATACGTTACCTTTATCAGCTGGAATCCCCGGTAAGGTTAGGTAAGACTGAAAATGATTAATAATAAATAAAAGTTAGTAATAATTTATACGCCTGTCGAATATCATTGGCATCAGGCCTCATGCCTCATGGAATGGCTTTGATGTGAGGGGTTTTATGGATTGCTTTGGTATCGGATTACATGGTATTAAATGAATGGAATTGATGCCGAGCTGACGGGATGGAATTATAACAGGGCAGAGTGGAATGGAATTGATATAAGGCTGACTGGGTATAATTGAGATGAGGCTGATTGGGTGGAATTAATACTGTGCTGATTGGATGGTGTTGAAACGGGGGCTGACTGAATGGAATTGACATGAGACTGACCAGACGGAATTGACACGAGGGCTCACTGGATAGAATTGAAACCGGGCTGACTGGATAGAATTGATATTGGGCTGACTGGGTGGTATTGATACGAGGAGCTGACTAAATGGAATTGAAATCGGACTGACTGGATAGAATTGATACGAGGGGCTGACTAGGTAGAATTGATACGAGGGCTGACTGGGTAGAATTGATACGAGGGGCTGACTGGATGGTATTGACACAGAGCTTGACTAAATGGAATTGAAATCGGACTGACTGGATAGAATTGAAACCGGGCTGATTGGGTGATATTGATACTGGGCTGACTGGATTGAATTGACACAGAGCTTGACTAAATGGAATTGAAATCGGACTGACTGGATTGAATTGATACTGGGCTGACTGGGTAGAATTGATACGAGGGGCTGACTGGATGGTATTGACACAGAGGTTGACTAAATGGAATTGAAACCGGGCTGACTGGATAGAATTGAAACCGGGCTGATTGGGTGATATTGATACTGGGCTGACTGGATGGTATTGACACAGAGCTTGACTAAATGGAATTGAAATCGGACTGACGGGATTGAATTGATACTGGGCTGACTGGATGGTATTGAAACCGGGCTGACTGGGTAGAATTGATACTGGGCTGACTGGGTAGAATTGATACGAGGGGCTGACTGGATGGTATTGATACTGGGCTGACTGAATGGAATTGATACGAGGGGCTGACTGGATGGTATTGACACAGAGGTTGACTAAATGGAATTTAAACCGGGCTGACTGGATAGAATTGATACTGGGCTGATTGGGTAGAATTGATACGAGGGGCTGACTGGATGGTATTGACACAGAGGTTGACTAAATGGAATTGAAACCGGGCTGACTGGATAGAATTGAAACCGGGCTGATTGGGTGATATTGATACAGGGGCTGACTGGATGGAATTGATACTGGGCTGAATGGATGATATTGAAACTGGGGTTGACTGAATGGAATTGACATGAGACTGACCAGACGGAATTGACACGAGGGCTCACTGGATAGAATTGAAACCGGGCTGACTGGATAGAATTGATACTGAT